TTGTGCCACTCACAGTCGATTTTTTCTGGCAATTTCTTGTTCGATACTGAAATTAAATCCAACTAACAAGACTCCAATTTCAACAAAAAAGGAAAATTAAAAATAAATACACAAAAACTGTACTGTGTAAAAACCAAAACAAATAAAATGCAATGGAGAGCCCAAATATGCGATTGTGCACAAATACAGTTACTCATGCGACGTGTGTGGCATACTAAACGGACGCTGACTTTATAATCAATACAGAAATCCATTGCACCAAAGCCCTGAATGTAAATGGCACAAAAACATGCACACATACGAACATGATGACACAAAAGAATGTGGAAAATGTTAATAATAAATTCAGTTTTGTAAACAAGTAAACAAAAAACTTAATTTACATATATAGTAACAGAAAAAAAAACGTAAACCTCAGCGGCGCCGAAGCTTTAATACCCTTTACTGTTGTATTTTTTATAGCATAAAAGAGTGTAAAATTTTTTTTTTTTTTTTATTTTTTTTGATTTTGATGGCTCAGTCTCGCTAAATGAAAAAGATTTTCATACAAGAAACTACCAGGACCCTATAGTTAACCTATACTTATCCTATTGCAAACATATAGTTAACGTAAAGTTATCCTATAACTATCCGATATCAGCGGTTCCAGCAAATGAGCAAGCTGCTCAAATAACGAAAAGAACGTGCGCAAAAAAACAGCTAGATATCTCAAAATCTGTGGGACTAGTACGCGCACAGATATGTCGACAGAAAGACGGATGTATCTGGCAAAATCGACTCAGCTCGTTTACTCGAACAGCTAGAGGTAATTAGGGGTTTCGACGTTTCCTTCTGAATGTTACAAACTTTATGGAGGACTTGAACTTACAGGTAGGGTATAAAACACACAAAAGAAGCTCAGAAGAATGCCTAAAAACACTAAACTCATAAGGAAAAGCTGAAGAAATGCTTTAAATGCTAACAAAACACGCTTAACATTGGAATAACTTTAGTCGAAGGCAGTCACTTTGATTTATGTGCCCTTTATGTTTGTAATCGTATTCATGTTTTTATAAAGTTTGTGAAGCAACTGTAAGTTCTAGAGTAAGATTATTCACGCCGCGTACGCTTAAGAACGCTTTCATGGCTTATGGAAATTTTTGTGAATTTACTTTTTACAATTGTGATTGTATGCTACTTTTCTTCCGATAAAGCTGTGGTCATTTATTTTTAAAAAGATTTATTTAAGATCTATAGAATAAGGTAATTTTCATGACTGGACTTGGAATGGTATACAAAGAGCGGCCTGAGCAGGTGTTACCGGTGCTTTTAAGTCATGTCCGATCGGAGCTCCTACATCAACCGCCCATAGACGTGTATATTCAGAAAGTAAGAAACACGTTGTGCTATCAAAATAAAGAAACTAGGAGGAGGTATATTCCAATAATCTTGATATATCTACCTACCGCCTACTTTACTGAGGCTACATCTTCCAACCGGAAATACTATATATAAGATGTATAGAGAAAAGCGGTAGGATCCCAAAAGCCATATGCATAGATAGCCAGGCCTCATTGCTTGCCTTGCCGACACCACAGATTAATTCCATAGCAGTCAACAACTGCATAAAGGCCTTAAGCTCATTAACAGATCAACTCCACTGTCTATAAATCGAGTTGCCTATCACAGGAACATTTTCGGCAACGAAAAGGCAGATAAGTAGGTAAAACTAGACTGCAAGCGTTCAAAAGAGAGCTTTATATGCATTCTGAGAAAAGAGTTTAGGGGCAGATGACAATCAACAACAAGCTACGAGAAACTCAATGCAGTTATGGGCTTAATATGACAGTAATAGAACCAAGAAACCTACTAACTAAGTCCAGGAATAGCCTAGCTACTAAAACTAGGCACCGGCATTTTGGAGAGCTTACGCTCAAAATTGAACACCATATAGCAATATTTACCACTATGTACGCCCAGCGCTATCACAAACCCGACACAGAATACTTTGAACCCATCAGGCACCAAACTTTGAATGGTTGTGCACAAAAATCATAATGAATATAAGCAGTTTCATTGAGAGTAGTAGTCAGGTCCTTCTCCACCTGTTTTTTTCGACGGAGCACAGGTCTTCCTCTTCCTCTGCCTCCCCCGGCGTATACTACGTCGAATACTCTCAGAGCTCTCATCCATTCGGACGACAAGAACTAGTCAGCGTAGCCGTTGCAAGCGGATGGAGCCATGTGTAGAAGTTCACGCAAGTGAGGAAAGATGTCTGAGCGCCATTCACTTGATAGTGACCAGAAACGATTCTTTTACATATGACTCAAGTAGCTCACAACTTCCCGTCTTAGACCAAATATCCGCTGGGTAGCTAAAAAAAACACCTGTTTGCAGACAAGCTAAAGTGAGAAGGCGAATCATCCCTCCCCAGCGTTGTGCGATGGGTTTGGAACCCGCCACGTAAAAGGATTTTAAGCAGCAGTTACTGTTGGTTCCAGCAGACACTTAAGCCGCATATTTCTCGAATTTGGGCCCTTCCAGTTGCAAGCCAGAACCCGCCACATATTGGCTGTCACATATCTTACCTCAATTGCCCATAATTGCCTCTACTTAAAGTAACCTTACCAATAAAGAACTCCTCTCTTACTTGCTCTAGAGCTGTTAGGAGCTCGTTGACATAAAATTCTTGAAATCACGTGTTTCTGGTGATAATTTTGCATAGAAAGAGTACATTCCGATGCCCAGCTTAGCGGCGCTGTGTTCAACTGTCATTTTATACATAAATAAGTAATTGTTTCTATTATTGTTGTTGACATTTTGACATTATGCCGGAATACCTGCACGTGTAGACATAAGCGCCGACAATTATGGCCTAACGCCATATTTAATGTGTCTCAAGGCGCTCCACACTTGGCTAGCTCACAGACGCTGGGTAATTAAAAAAAACAATTTTGACGCTGAATGTGCGACTGCGCTAATTCTATTTGTGTTGACAATATTGCTTTTGTAATTTTATGCTATCGTACCTGTATAGCAAGATCGTTCGTCGGCTGAGATGCTCGGTATTGCGTATAACTTTTTTATGGTGTTGACTGGAAGATTAGCAGTTATACTTTAGATTACTTCACAGCACCACCTTCTTTTTGATTTATATAGATTTTGTAGGGCATAAGCCGCGTGAAAATGTTTCCGCGTTGTGCACTTATACATACTCGTATATTCTCAAATATTATATTTTCACCCCGACACTCCGGTAGTCAACAAAGTGCACACTTCGCCTTCTATTATCAGCTAAATTTTCTTAATACATCTTCTGGGAATTTTCTGCGATTAGACTAAATATGCTTAGCTTGTCTTCCGGTTTAATTTATATATATTTGATAAATTTTGTTCAAATAAATATTAAAATAAAAATATTTTTTAAAGATTATTCTCGCACTATTTTCTATATCCCATCGAACTGGTGCAGTCCCCGTAGAATATGGTTTTTTAATCTTACCACAAATTGGTCCATCTTCTCGGACTAGCATAGTGTTATACAAACAGTGTCTTAAAAGTTTTAGACAATAAAGTGCTTAAGAAGGTTGATGGTTATTAAAAATAACTTTAAATACAAAGTTGGTGTAGCCTGTAGTCGGGGTTCAAAACTAAATATTAGGTTGTCAAAAAAGTCTTGCGGTATTTTTAATTGCGGTATTGAATTTTCAATTGTTCATAATTTTTTTTGATGACTCATGCCCAGCTCTTGACCGCTGCTACGGCTGCTACTATGCCGGTCTCTTGAGACCAATTCAGCGACTTTATCGCAATTTTCGACGACAGGCCTTCCGGAGCGTGGCGCATTTTCGACCACCTCTACACCAGACCGAAAACGTTGAAACCATCGTTGTGCGGTGGAAATGGAAACTGTATCGGGTCCATAAACTGCACAAATTTTACTGGCGGCTTGAGATGCATTTTTGCCTTTATCGTAGTAGTACTGTAAAATATGCCGTATTTTCTCTTTATTTTGCTCCATGTGTGCGACGCTATAACTCACGAACGACTTCAAAGAAACGACAATCAATCAAACACGTGTGAGCTTTTCAAAAAGGACGAATAAAACTAGAACTACGCGCTCTCAGCGCCAACTAGCGAAAATACCGCAAGACTTTTTTGACAATCTAATAATGGTATTCATTGTGTTTTTGGCTTTAAATTCGGTTAAAATCATGGCTTGATGCGATGGTGCATTATCATCGTGTAAAATCCATGAATAGTTCTTCCACAATCTCGGATGTTTTCGACGGCGGTTCTGAAACGCCACAATACGGCCAAATAGAACTCCTTATTGACTGTCTGTCTCTCAGAAACAAGTGCTTGTTTTGGTTTTGTGTCGTTTTGTCCCACCCTTCCGATGGAATGCAGATACTTCGAGATATAATCAACATTTCAGAAAGTCTAAAGGATCTCTAAAGCACAAGTTCTTTTTATTTCTAATACTGGCTGGGCGACGGTAATATTTTTAATCTACCGAAGCCCATACTATTTTTCTTGAGATTTTAACAATACATTTTGACTGAGTTCATATTTCCCTTTTCTTATAATATTTGCAGTGTTTCCTAAAGAAAATATTCTAAAATCTTACAACCCACACTTAAAAACGGAGCTTTTTTAACTTGCTAAGCTCTCTTTGGCTTTAAAGCGTCGCAAAAAGCTCATCAAACTACCAGACAGTTGTCTGCGTGTCATTTTCCTTACTTATTTCTTACTTCGGAGCACATATGGATACCTAAACCTTCCCCGAATTATGCCATAGGCTGAGAAGATCTATGAAAGTTATTTATAGAATTATGCTAGTGAGCTTCCTCAGTTAATCTAGCAACTCAATTACCTTTTTGCTCTCAAAAGCCTTAACGCTTTCTTACCGTACTCTTGATTTCGCAAAAGCTTTGCGTTTTTTTTTTAAAGCGGAGCTCAAAACACACTAAATTTAACACAATTCGCCTAAGCAACTCTTCCTACTTTTTTCTTTACAGATGCTTCTTTGGACGCTGCGCCACTTTCAGCCAATGTTTGCCTCTCGCCAAAGTCCATGCTGCGTCTAGTCGTCGACCATAATGATCTACACAATCGCAAACTCTACAAGACTTACACCACGGATGATGTTACGAAGGCGCATAACTCCGAAGATGAATACAATGAGTTCATCAATGATGTACAGTTAACACCGGTGGCGTTCATGAAACTCTGTCCAGCGCTGTTGGCGCAAATTGATCAGCATGTCTGCATACGACCAGCGCCACTCAGCAACGGCATGAATGCCAAGCAGGCGCTGTGGAATGGTGAGTTTATATACATATTACATACTCGCTATATTTACTGTTAACTAACGCTACTTTTTGTAACCGCCAGCTTGGATATACGCCAGCATTTCGATATTCATACTCTCCGCTTGCGGACTGCTTGGCATTTTGCTGGTGCCGCTCATGAAAACTGTCGCATATCAAGAGATTTTGAAATTCCTCGTTGCCGTTGCCATCGGCACGCTAGCCGGCGATGCCTTAATGCATTTACTGCCGCACGCGCTGGTGCCCGATCACGATCACGAACACGAACACGATGAGCATGCGGTCGAAACCGCCGAGTCGGCGCATGATTCACACGAAGCAGTTTGGATCTGCGCCTGCGCTTTCTTCACTTGTATCTTCATGTACGTGTTGGAGCATATATTGCCGTTATTGCGGGGTGACAGCGCTGGCGGACATGGGCACGCGCACGGACATGGGCATGGACACTCACATGGCGGTCACGGGCATAAGCAAGCGCACACGCATAAACAAGCGCACGCGCATAAACCAGGACATGCGCATGCGCACCACGCCGAGCAGGCGCATCATGGAGAGCATGCGCACCACGCCGAACAAGCGCCATCAGGGAAACCAACTGACAATGTGCTCACCGCCAACATCGTAGCGCCGGTCAATAATGATGCAAAAGAGATCAATATCATGTTGAATGAAACGAAAAAGGATGAAAAAGCGCCAAATCGTCCATTGACACCCGTGGCCTTCATGGTCGTCATCGGCGATGGCCTGCACAATCTCACCGATGGCCTCGCCATAGGCGCCGCTTTCGCCAGCGATCCAGTAACCGGCATGGCCACCGCCTTCGCCGTGCTCTGCCACGAGCTGCCACATGAGTTGGGCGATTTTGCGCTTCTGCTGCAGACAGGCGTGTCCTTGCGGCGCGCCGTCTATTTGAACATTGTCAGTTCGGTGTTGAGTTTCCTGGGCATGGCCATCGGTTTGTTCATAGCCGGCGCGCATGGCAATATGACACAATGGATTTACGCCTGCACAGCCGGTTCGTTCCTCTATATCGCTCTGGCGGATCTTGTGCCGGCAATGAGCGAAGTCGAAGCGCATGCGCACGATGCGAAGAGCAAACTGAAGGGCACATTAATACAGATATTCGGCATGCTGTTGGGTGGTCTTATTATGTTGGCCATTGCTGTCAATGAGCATTCGCTATCGGCGCTTTTTAAGTAAAAAAAAAGGCAGCAACAACAACAAATGCAAGCGGCAATATTTGTTTATGCGCTTCTCAGTTCTGTAAATTGAGAGCGTAAATGTGAGTTGTTCAAAACACGCATTCCTAGACTACATTGTAGAGTCTGCTTTTGAATAATTATGTTTAAGTTTGTATGTTTTATGGTTTTTAAGTTTTAAAGTATTATTAAATATATTGTAGTTGTACAAATTAAGTTTTAGAAAAGATTTTTGAATTATAATAAAAGTTAAAATAAATTTAAAATCACGATTAAAGGAAATTGTTGAATTAATGGGAAAATGTAAACGTATCCTTCCTTTAGGCGCATGTGTTTTGATGAAATTATCAGCTGACAAGGCAAAAGGCAGTAAAGAGTTCGATTTATCAAATGTGTTTGGGATTATCTCTGGTTTTTGTGTTTGTTGTTGTTGTAGCGCTTTCGTGGCAGTTACGTTCACTCGATTGTCGTGGGAATGTTTTTTTGTAGTTGCTTATTTTTTTATAGTGGCAGAAAACATTATTCAGTAATTTCGTGGAAAGATGCCGAGTTAACGGAAAAAAATCCGTGTTTGTGCCGTTTATGCAGACCCGACTACCGTGGAAACGAACTTCAGCTTCTCACTACAGTTCATGTTACTGTCGAAGAGCCGTTAGTTTCCCGAATGAAAACTCTACCTTTCGGAACAGCTTCTCACGGAGTGCAAGAAAATCCAAATATATCAGGTTTAAGTAACCGGAACCGAATTATGTAGATATGTATATACGGTCAAGAACTTATTATCAACTCAGCAGTTGGGTTGACTTACCCATTTGTTATAGAAAAAACTCCGCTGGCACGAAATTTTAGGCAAAAAAGTTAAGCTAACCAAAACCATAAAACCGTTTGATAATTTCATAACTGTTTTAATAAAATTTTATATACAGGCTTCTGCGAAGAAAATCCCTCGTTTTGTCAAGCAAATAATAAACCCGTATTTCAATTTAATTATTTATTACAATTAAAACAAAACAAAAATGCTTTTTTTTACTAAATAATGCAATTCAGGTTATTCAAGCTATCTGTTGGTGTTGTTCTTCAAAAGGTTCATTAGGCAAGCGCGCAGAGTTCTAAAAACAAAATAAATTAAAAGAAAAAAAATATAATACTTCAATACATTTTAAAAATCATTTGCTTACCAATTTCTTAGCGCGTTCCTCCAACGTGCCATACGACACATGATCCAAGGTAAAGCCAGCCGGCAAGCCAACACCTTGCACACGATACAAAGCATCTTTATCACCCTCATTGGCAATTTTGTGCGCTGCTGCCACGGTACATTTGCCAAGAAAACGTGATGATGCCACCATTGGACCACGCGATATATCTATATGTGTGCCCATGCGATAAACCGTGACACGTCCCTGATTCTGTTGTGCAATGCTGGGCACCTGCTCACGTTTGTAACGCGAATCGGCAAACATTTCCAGCGCTAGCTCGTTATTTACATCGAGACGTTCGATTTTCAAATCTTTGGCGGCTAACCTAATCATCGCTGCGGACAGAGCACGCATTTCAGCTTTGGTAGGTTGCCAAGATTGCGCCTGCAGCACTATATCATAAACAAAACTGCCAGATTTGACTGTAATGAAATGAACATTATGTTAATAGTTTGTCTAGAATAAGGCCGGCATATAACTGTTACTATTTGGTCCTGGAAAACTGTGTAATTGCAAATGTGCTTCGTCAGTAAAGCTGTTTTCGAGTGCTGCGCCCAACATGAAGCTGCATGTGCGCCAGAAAGCTCTGTAAATAATTACATATACAATTATTGTGTATAATAAAGATGTGAGTTGCTAGCTCTTTCTACTTTAATTTCTTAGTTGCACATACAATACAAAATATTGTAATAACTTCATTGTTTCAATTAGTTCTTTGATAACTTACTTATTTATTAAATGCGGATCAGCTACTGTAAAATTAAGCAGCTGTAACGTACAAGATTCTGTTAGCGGTCGGTGCATATCCCACGGCACATTGCCATCTTTCAATGCTAAAGCGGAACGTTTGCAATGTCCATCACTTAAATGTTGCGCACAATTGTAAGGCGTAGATATATGGGCATTCATAGCTAGTGTGGCATCCTCCGGTAAACCCAAATAACGTACTTCAATTTTTTCTACTCTACCAACAGCTGCCTTTTGCCGGCGTTGCTCTTCTGTAAACAATTCATTGCGCTTAGCTATAGCAGGACTGACAGTTTCCTTACTTGTACAGTAAGTACCTGGAATAAAAAATTAAATTAAAGCATTGCTTTCTATTTAGAAAATGTACATGTAATCATTCAAAAATGTTCTGAAAAAGTTCATCACTTTTTAGATAACACTAGCATTAGTAAACTCACGTATACTTGACAATCGATTATAGCGTTGCAAAGTATTTAATACTGTTTGGAAGAGCATTTTATTGCCGGTCATTTCTAAAAAATGTAATAAAGTTTTCTTTTAACTTTTGAAGTTGATTTTCTATATTTTTTTCAAGAGACGGCAAAAATGTTATCAAATCACAAAATTTATTCAACAGCTGATACCAACGTGCTTTGATATTGCCACGTAGTTAAAACAGAAATAGAGTGGATTCAGATATTTTCTACAAAATAATAACACAAAAATATATTTACTATAATATACTGTCTGCAGTTGCAATACTGATTAAATTTTAAATTATACAATTTTATTTTATTTAATTTTACTGCTAACTGTCAAACCAAAAATGTCTTGTTTACAATAATGTTTAATCATTGTGATTGTTTTTGTTTTTTATTGTTAATGGCAACTTGAAAATAGAAGAAGCATCGCAAGGCTGTCACAATTTTGTTGGTCATCTTATTCGCTAAAACATTTATTGTAAATTCGCACAGCTATTTTCCTCAAATCATTTTGCGTTTAATTTAATAAAACTACTACGAAATGAATATGGAACTAGTGCGCAATGTGCCGAAAGGTGGCTTTAACTTTGACAACTGCAAAAGGTAAATATTTTTAATTTTAGTTGAACGCCGCATAAATGCTTATGCTTTCTTGAGCAGAAATGAAATGCTGCTTAGCTCCGGTTTCCAACACCCAAAGACTGTAAAAACAGGCACCACAATTGCAGGTATTATATTCAAGGATGGCGTAATACTTGGAGCAGATACACGCGCCACTGAAGGTCCAATTGTGTCGGATAAGAATTGTTCCAAAATTCACTATCTGGCTAAAAATATGTAGTAAGTAAGCCTGTGTATATTAAATGCTTGTTATATCTATCACATACATGCTGATACATGTTTAATATAATTTCATAACATTTGCAGCTGCTGTGGTGCCGGTACTGCTGCCGACACAGAAATGACTACCGATCTGATTGCATCGCAATTGGAAATGCATCGCCTAAATACAGGTCGTCAAGTACCCGTTGTGGCAGCCAACACACTGTTGAAACAATTTTTATTCCGCTATCAGGGACACATTAGCGCTGCTTTAGTGCTTGGCGGTGTTGACAAGACTGGCTCATACATTTATTGTATACATCCACACGGTTCAACCGATAAACTGCCATATGCAACAATGGGTTCGGGCAGTTTGGCGGCAATGTCTGTGTTTGAGTCACGTTGGAAGCCCGACATGACCGAAGAAGAGGGCAAACTGCTTGTGCGCGATGCTATTGCGGCTGGTGTCTTCAATGACTTAGGTTCTGGTTCGAACATCGATTTATGCGTCATACGCAAAGATTCAGTTGATTACTTGCGCAACTATGAGCTAGCCAACTTGAAAGGCAAACGTCATGTAAGCAGACTTAAGATGAAGATGAGGTTGAAGGAATATTTTACTTAAATATTGTGTTTGATTTTATTTTATAGGGAGATTATCGCTTTAAACCTGGCACAACTGAGCTGGTCGGCAAGGAAGAAATAATTGAAGTTGTTCCCTTTGAAGCTTTCCACAAAAAGCTGTATGGTGATGAAACAGCTGAGGCTATGGAAGTTGGTGCTTAAACTAGGAGTTGTCACAGTATGCATGTGAAAACATACGAAAATTAATTAAATTTTGATTTTTGCAAATAAAATAGTTTTTAAAGAATTTTAGGCAGTTTATTTTTTTGTGCTGAACAGGGTATATTAGTTTTGCCACGAAGTTCCTGAACCCTGAAGGAAACCACTATAACTTAAGGGTGTGGTACAAACTGAACGATCAAAATCAGGTTAATGAAAAACCTTTTAGTGACGTAAATATTGATTGGTATATACAAAAAACACAATTTTTGACAAAATAAACTTTATTTCGAAATTATTTAATTTTGTTCGACAATATAATCATACTTAGGTATATTTATATACATAAATATGTAAATAAAGTGTATATATAGATATAGATAGATATATGTATGTTCGACCTTACATTTCCACATAGGTAGGCATTGTCATGACGCCGCAATTATTTTTTCTTGTCGACATCAAGATATAACCGTCATTACCCCAGTAGGTGGACCATGAATTCTTTACCAACCAATAGTCCTCGCCTTGTATGGTGCCATAACCAACAGCCAATACGGCATGATCCAACTCATCCAAACCATTTTTACATTCCGGCTCATAGTACACACCATGCGCATAAAAACTGAACGAGCGTGGCGATGCATCGATGGCCACCGAAAGTGGGCCGTGCTTGAGCAAAGCAATTTTGAAAGCGTTCGAATCTCCTGAAGTTACGTTAACGAAACCGGTGATCGGTGCAACGAGCGTAAGATTTTGTGCATGACAATAGCCATCTTGACCCATATATGGACCGTAATCCTCCTCCGTTGGTACACCCCCCATTTTCATCATCCATTGATAGGCACGGAAGTCTTCGCCACCATCACAACCATTGTTGCCATATTGCCAGGAGCAATCGATGAGCGCCTGCTGCGAGAGACGCACTAGGTTACCGCCATTTTTCAGAAAATATGCACCTTCAATGTGACCAATGGTGCCGAAGGACCAGCACGAGCCGCAAACGGATTGATCTGAGACGGAATAGAGGTTATAAGTATTTCAAATATATTAGTGTTCAGTAGTTTCTTACTTAGAAGTGGTATTGGAAATTAGTAATATTCTGAGAAAAGTTCCTAACAAAGCTCCAAGCTTTTAAAAACATTTATGACTAAAAGTTTTTTTTTTAGTTTTTTTTAAATTGAAGCTGAAATATTATTCGGAGAATTTTTAAAATTAGAAGCTCTAAGTTTTCAAACACTTTTAGGAGCTTAAAGCTTATTTCGGTATGTTTGGTTTTTTGTAACGAAGCTGAGTTCAAAGTTAATATTATTTTGAAAGCTTTTAACACTAAAAGCTCTAAACTTTTAAACACTTATATTTTAGTGAAGCTGAGTTGAAAGTTAATTTTACATTGAAAGCTTTTAACACTAAAAGCTCTAAATTTTCAAACACTTTCAAGAGCTTAAATCTTTTTAGAGTTTTTTAACAGCGTAGATGAGTTGGAAATAATATTATTATGAGAGTTTTTATCATTAAAAGCGCTAAGCTTTCAAACTCTGTCATGAGCTTAAAGCTTCTTTCGAGTATTTTCACAATGAAGTTAAGCTGGCATTAAATATTATTCTGAGCGCTTTTAACGTAAAAAGCACTAAACTTTCTGCAAGTGTTTGAACATAAGCTTTAAATATAAGCTCTTTCATGAGCTTAAAGTTACTTTCGAGTGTTTTCCCAATGCAGCTAAGTTGACATTAAATATTATTCTGAGAGCTTTTAACGATAAGAGCTTTAAGACTTCAAACACTTTTAGGAGCTTTAAGCTTAGTTTGAGTTGCATACAACAAAAACTTACCCTTAACAGGCGTTACAGCGCCATACAAACGCCAATCATACTGATCGGGCAGATCATCTTTTAACTTTTCAATATTGTAGGGGAATGGTTTGCCTGTATTGTAAATACCAGACGATTTGAAGCCACGACGCGCACGCAATTCTTCCTCGGTCTTATCAGCCAAATGGTTGGCCGCCAGCGTGTAGCTCAAACGTGCACGATTCTTCGAATGTATGAAACGCAGATTTTGCCGAAATATATTTTTGCGATATTCATGCTCCTTATCGGTCTTATATTTGATGCCGTGCTTGGCTTTGAAATGATTGAACGAATGCTCGACATGTTCGTCCTTAGCGGGATGCACGAATTCTTGCATTGGATTGAATGTTGCATAGTGTCCAGCACCGGGTCCCGGAAAAGCTACACAAGGCATACCTATAAATTTTCAATCAAATTTAAATATACACAACTTTTTGAAAGAAATGCAATGCAAAGCTCACTGTCATCCAATTCGAAGACCTCATTTGGTATATCATCATGCTCATAACTGTCATAATCCAAGAAGTAATGATCGAAATGTGAACCCAACAAAGTGTTATAACCGCGCATCTCATAACGTACTGGTATCGGTTGGCGTGCCGCGGGATAGTGCGGCGATTTCTTATAGCGCACCCACAGTGTATAAACATTACGCTTCTCACCGATCACCTCTTCAAGTCGGAACTTGTCACAGGTGAAACCGAGAAAACTTTCCGTGCCCAAAAGTGTGAAGTTTCTAGCATCCGGTAGTATAGTTTGTATTTGTACGCGATTTTCGGCGGTACCATTCAATTGCAAACACGTGACCTTATTCAATTCCTCATCGGTGGTAATGGGTGCTAATTTGAGTGACGTGCCATAAGGCATAACGCTGGCCAATTGATAGGTCTTCACCATGCCACCATAATAATCGATACGAGAACGTTTTGTAGTCTTATCATACCAGGCGTAGAAGGGTTCGGCAATTTCGGCATACGGTATGTACAGTGTACCCTTGGTGATGTATGTTTCATCCCATTTTGGCGGTTTGGTGGCCAATACTACGGAAAAAGAAAGTTTTTTATTGAATAAGTTAAGGAATTAAGCGACTATTATGAGGTTAGGTAGTTTTATGGTAGTCCAAGCAGACTCCGGGAGTTATTAAGCTTGCTGAGCCTTTGTAAGTTCTTGTGAAAGACGGGAGGACGCAATAGACTTTAGGCTGCAGTGCAAGTTTACTAGATCTGTTGGTATATATCTAAGCTTCTTCTTAACTGTATCAAAAAATCCCTGGGTAACTCATGAGGAAGACAAATTTTAAAAGAGTTTTGCAATTATTCATAAGATCAGGGCTTATGCCATCCTTCAGTGAAAAATTCTACTATTTTCTTTTAGTTGTGAAGATATCCGCTGAGCTTAATGTACCATCTTCTTGTATTCGAGAATGACGTTATAAAAGTTTCGCAGCTCAGCGCTGTCCTTCAACTTCAGTCCGCAACTGAAGAGTTTGTTTCGTTGCAACGAAACGCGGTTAGATTATATTGTTTGGAACTCTTCTTTTTAAGTACCTTCTAAAGTTCTGCCTTCCAATGGTTTGTGCCTTTAACAATTAAATCCATCTCCGCCTAAATCAAATGAGATTCTAAAGGCTGACTCCTGGGGTACTTAACTACTTGATGGCACTGC